CCCGGGGCAAGCGCCGCGAGCCGCTCTGCGCGCGAGGTCCCTGGGCCGGGGCGCAGTTGCGGTAGACGTCCCGAGGGGGTGCAGTGCTGCAAGGGATGGTTTGGCTTGATGTAAAAAAACGAAGTCTTGTTCCTCACCCCCGTATTGAAGTTCCAGGAGCAAGAATAAGTTAATGCAGAGCAATAAAGATAGTTCCCAATATCTTCCTAGAATGGAACGTGGGCGTTATTAGCAGTGTCTGTGGAAGAAACTTTCCAAATAACATTTTCTATAGTGTAGTTTTATGGTTTTTTAGAGTTTTTTTTTCTTTTTTTTCTGAGATTTTTTTTTTAAAGGGGGGTGTGTGTGTGTATATATATATATGTATTTTCCAGACAGTGACTTCAAATGATCCACTAAGCGTTACGGTACAGTTTGAGGGACATGGCATATCCCATTTGTACTGTATTCACCCCTGTGTATTGGGGGTGTTTTGAGGCCGTGTTTCTTTGCAGCAGCTGGTCTGGGCCTCCTTGTTCTCCCGCCACGGCCCTGCCTCGCCCTGGTCTGCAGAGCCAACACGGATCTGCTCCCAGAGGAAGAATTTCCATTCTCTCATTCCGGGGATGCCGTTTTCTTGGCTCCTATGTGTGGGAACACCCTTTTCGCAATCTGCCTACATGAGCAGATTAAGTTCTTAAAATGCTAACATGCTAGCTCTGCTTATTGAGCAACATAGCTGGTTGTGCACACCTGGCATTGGTTAATTTGTTTTTTTTTTGTTTGTTTGTTTGTTTGTTTGTTTTTCTTTCTTCCTTAAACTCCACCTTTCCTGCTCTAATGTATCCGAGCAGCACTTGGTCCTCACAGTTTGTTCAAAAGCAGCCCCGCGCTTCTGTCACTGAACTGCTGTGAGGACAGGGTATCTAACACAGATAAGGCCCAGTCTAACAGACTTGCAAGTCAGTTAGGGCCCTGGGCAAGAGAGAGCTGGAGTCAAATCAGATGTTAATAACGTTGTGATTCAGATTTGGGCAGTGTAGACTTAGGTGGAAAAACTGGTTTTCGAAACTTGCTTTAAGGTATTGGAAATATTTGTTAGCTTTCAGCTGGAGAGCAGAATTTGATCCTGTCCTGTGCAGGTGAGAACAAGTCAGTGCATATATCTCCTGTTTACCTATTCAAACCCAACCAGAACTTGTCAAAAGTGCTATAGATAAAATTGGTCCATTGAAGAACAATGAGATTCTGTTCACAAATGGGAGAACCTTGCAAAGTTGAGCATGACAAGAAATGCGTTTCTTCTCCGAGAAGATCTTTCTCTGCAAAGTTGCTTGGAAAAAAATCCCGTTTGGCTGCTCTCTCGCCGCCAGCTTGCGGCGGGTTGGCGGGCGGCGCCGCCGGGGACGCAGCAGCGCCAGCGCCGCGCGAGGGTGTGAGCTCTGCTCCTGGACACCACGCGAGTGTGCGCTCGCAGCAGCCAGATCCAGCGTGGGCTTTGTTTCATTTACTAACGGCAGCCTTCCAAAAAGCTGCTCAGTGACTGCTTTGTGAAGGACTGTTCTGCAGTCGCTTGGCGTCAGCTCTCGCCGCTGTGTGTTAGTTCTTTGTGGCAAGCAAGGCTAAAAGCCTTTGGTTGCTTGTCTCTGATATTGCTCGTAAAGCTTTCAGAGTACAAAGTCTCATTGTTAGGCACTTCATTTTATTAAGAGTAAACATGAAGAATCTCATAACTCAGTCAGTCGTGTATCATCTCCCTTTAACCAGCTCAGTTAATAATGCTAATAGCGGGCAGCAACTTTTTATAACTTATGCCACTTATCTTTAAAAGGCTGGATTGGATTTTTGATATTAAAATATAAAATTCTCAAATAGTAAGGTGATGTGGAGAACTTTGACTGTACTTTTTACTCTGTGTCTTTTTTCCTTCCTGTTTCTTTACATCTCCTTGAGTGGAGTTATTTCTGTTGCTCTTCTCCCTATTCTGCTTCAAAAGAGGAAGGGTTTCTTGCGGTGCTCTCAGTGAGGAAGGATGTGACTACAATTTTTCTCCTCTAAAAGCTCTTTTCTATGTTTCATTCTAAAAGCAATATTTCTATAAAAATGATATTTGCTTTTCTAGCAATCCAATTTATTTTTCTTTTTTGTAAAAAATACCAATGGAACTTGGTTTCTGTTGCTAGAAAGCAAAAGAATTCTCCATTTTCAAAATTGAAACTTCGATAGGAAATAAATCTAGTCAAGCTGAGGTGTTTTTGTTGTTTCTCCCTTGAATCTGACTAACCCCAAAAGAGGGAGAGGCAAAAACCTGTGACCAGGTTGGGCAATATTTAAATAAATCAAAATAGAACAAGGAGAAAAATTGAACAAATAACTTTTATTTGCTCGGTAAGTAATGAACAGTCTTAGCACTTTAATAGCTGGATGAGTATTTATAGAGAAGCACTTAAAATGTGCTCAGAGCCTGTAAGAGCAGCAGCATGTTTCGTTCAGTCTTTAAAACATATGGCACCGCAGTTCTTGCGCACTTGCACAATAATTGCTTTTTCTGCCAAATATTGCTGCAGTGATATCTCCTAAATAATCTCAGTTTCATTTTACAGCTTTTGTATAAATTGATTGTATGCTTTAATATTGCCTCAGGACTTCAGTTTTCTCTGAATGCTTCTTGATGCTCCTGAAGAAATGTGCTACTTTTCTTAAATAAATAAATAAATAATAAAAAACTTGGAATTGAGTACCTCTGTTGTAAAAGGCTTGATAGAGAATAAAAGAAAGGTGTCCAAGAGCTAAAACAAAGAATGAACGCTTAGTTTAGAACTTCAACCAGATCTCCACTATTTGGAACCACTTGTTGACTTGCTGCTTTCCCTTCTCCTATAAGCTCTTGGTTTTGGATCTGGTTGGTAGGAGGGGAGAAGTTGCTTTCTCTGTCTGGGAAACTTGCCTGAGCGGTCAGCCCTGCTTGCCCGGGAAAGCCCTATCATCATCATCAGAGTAACTGCAGAGGGATCAAGTGGGGTTTGAAACCCCCTTGGCAGCACACGGGCAGGGCTGCTGACGGCCTCGCGGTGCACAGAGCCCCGGGCGCCCGCGCGTGCTGCAGGTTCCATGCCAGGCCCTGTTCTGGAGTTAAATGAATATCGCTGATTTTGAGGTGTGGCCGCTCTCCCCTGCCTCTCCACAAGCCTATTTCCCGTTAGAAACAGCTGCTATCTCTGCAGTTCCTGAGAAGCAAGCTTTGTTCTGAGCAGATAAAATAATGTCTGCTGCAGTTGCCAAGCTGAGTAACTAGAACGTAGTATGAGTGGCGATAGCCCTCCTTTCAGAGGGGAAGGGAAAGGAGAGGAGCAGAGGAATTTGGGAGCTGAGTTTTAGGAATGCGTCAGAGAGCTTAAATATTGCCTCTGGCTTCTAAATTTTAGGAAAAAAAAGTCCTCCTTAGTTAAGAGACTCTTTCAGTAAAACAGTATTACAGCTCTGGCAAACTTCCCTGACCAGAAACCAGAGTTGGAAAAAAGCACAGTGTTGTAACATAGGTACATCACATCCATGTTTGTTTTTGCAATGTTTATGATTTTTCCAGTAGGTTTTCTTCTGTTCTTCTTATTACATGTAAGCAAGATATTATGAACTTTGTGGCAATGGAGCCATTATCTGGTCTCATTGGATGTTCCTTTTGGAACTGTCATCCTGAAAGAGTCCTTGTTACCTGGCGGCCACATTATTAGTAGGTATTTGTAGTGTGTCCTGTTTCTTTTTGCTGAGTACTGAGGAGCCAATACCCAGCACCGTATGATAATAGAGACACTTGTGCCTTGTGTCCAGGGTTAAAGATTGAACAGCAGTTACAGTTTTATAAAATGTTTATATGAATATGAAATAGCTCCAGTGTATTCCTTGAGCACTTGAGGAATTTAGCCTCCGATTGAGAGATTATTAGTTGTTATTACTTTAGCTCGGATTTGGACTGAGCTGCAGTACTCCTCTACACTTTTTCTGGTACTGAATTTGAAGTTCAGTTGATCCTCTTTATAGGGAGATTCTCCGGTTTCTAAGCATAAAATGCGGTAGAAAGAGTTCCTTGAGAAAGGAAGATACATTTTTATTTTACAGTAGGAAGAAGACCTCTCGCTGTTGCATTATCAGTGGTGCTGTGATTTGGAGACTCTTAAATCAATCTTGTTTCTTGGGATTAGCAGTCTTACTGAGTTGTCCAGGCTTCTGTAATACAGGTATTCAGGGCTATCTAACATGCTGCTGTAGCAGCCTGTGACTGTGAACATAACTTACTTAAGTCTACTTGTTCTTGTTCTCTCCACCCCCTCCAGCTTTCTTTCAAGATGTCTACAGTCCATGAAATTCTAAGCAAGCTCAGCCTTGAAGGAGATGTAAGTATTATTATTCAAATCAGAGTATTTGTTTGTTTTTCTTAAATACTATGTGTTGTTTCCCTCGCACAACTCTCTACTAGCAGCTGCACTAAGCTATAGAGTTTAAATTCCACACGTTTCTTCTATGTAAGATAATCTTATCTAAAAGCTTAGTCTGTTGTGGTCAGTCTTCAGCCATAAAGCTGCCCAGAACCATGGATCAGTTATGAGATGACTAGATTTAATGGAAGTTTTTCTAACTGGGCAGCAGCATGAGCAGGACTTGCATGCTGGGCCATATGAAACAAGTCAGAGGGCAGACTGAATGGGTAGTTTAGATCTGTGATCCACCTTTTTTTGTGAAGGTATAAATGACTTAAGAGGATGGCAAGGGCAGATGGAAATAGAAATGACACCTGAGTTTCACTTTTTTCAATTAAAATTTGGAGAACATTAGTTAATGAGCATCTTATTTGTGTAATGTTTTTCACCAAAAGCCAAATACTTTCAATAAAAACTCTCTCTCAAAAATATTTTCTCACTTTTTGTTTTGAAAAGCCTCCAGTCTCTCCTTTGTGTTGGGTATTTTCCACCACCTTTACATTTCTCTGATTGTCTTACAGTAGTACCGGAAAGCCACACTCCCTTTGTTTGATTTCTTATGTTGCAACAGAACTTGAGAGAGTTACCAGTGTCATCTCAGAATATTGTGGTGTGATTTTGTGGCTCTGTGATTTATCACCGAAGAAGAAGTGAATCTGGGGTGTCATCCCATCTTATTGCTAATACTTTCAAATTTCGTAACTGATGACCGCAGAACTCAGCTTGGTAAAAGCAAATATTTTGTTCCTTCTTATAAAATAGATTACACTATTAGTGCACTGCAGGTAAATAGTGAGGCTGATTTTGTGCTGTAAAAGCAGTCAAGTCTTTAGAATACTTCGCCATGTTCTTTTGGATGGAGATTTCCTTTTGGACTAACATTTGAGCAATTTAGCCTCATGGGTATAAATACTTATTTCATAATAAATATGAGTAGTTGCAGAAGTCAAATTTGAAGAACATTACAAAGCAGCATTTTGCATAGAAATTCTGTTGTAAACTGCAAAAGGTAATAGGCGACTTATTTCTGTTCTATAGATTCCAGAATTTCAAGGTTTGGATCTTAAGTGAACCGACTTCATGTTGTTGCTCAATGTCAACTACAGTGCAGGTGAAACAGTTTCAAACCTCAGTGCAATTAAGTCATCTTCACATGGATATTTTGTAGATTTTAATCTGGAAGCCAGAACTGTTGAGTAGATGGTTTGTATAAATGACTTGCCCAGTTCCCCTAAGGAGTGATTGAGCAAGTTAACTGGTGTTAAGTGCAGTGTTTCAGATTCAGATGCTTTTTTTTTTTTTAAAAAAAAAAAAAAATGTACTTGTAACTCTGAGGGCCTAGAATGGCGAAAGCTGAGCAGAAACCCTGTTTTGTGCAATAAGGCATTTGTGCATTCCACTTCAGCAGCATAGCAAGCGATTTCCTCCAAACCAAGAAACTGCCTGATAAGCTGAGTTGCTTCAGCTGGGACTATCTTCTCTGTCCTTTAAGGAGAAGAGAGGATTGAGCTGAAGTTAACTCTGGATTTGCAATTTCTGCAGCCTTCTGCAAGACAGTGGAAAGATTCTCTGACAAATCTTCCAGGTGTGCTTGATCATGTACTCGATCTTTGCACTGGCAGTTGGAAATGTGAAAAATAGTCAAGGCAGTATAGATTAGTTGCAGGATGGCCTCGGGAAGTTGTTGGGGGTTTTTTTGTATGTTTGTTTTGATTTTTGTCAGGGTGAGGAATACCCAAACCTAGATGTCTTGGACGGATTCTGTTTTTAGAAGTCAAGCCTTGTTAGCGTTCCTGTTAGTGAAGTATGTCCCTCTGTGATGTTGAATTCTTCTAAATGGGATTTGGTTCCTCAAGCTCAGAGGAAATAAAGCAGTTATATGTTTCACATATCCTCTATGTGGAGGGAGAAGAAACCTTTCTCTGCTTAGTCTTGCTCAGACTACTTGTGCGTTTATACATCAGGCAGTACTTCTACAGCCACATCCTGGAAAACTTTGTACAGAAACAAATGGAAAGTTCTTTGGAAAAAAAATTATTGTCTGAAAATGTACAGTACTCTTTAGTGTACCACAGTAATTTGGGACAGATCCCTATTGTCTGGAATTTAAATGGCTGCTTTTCATAGGCAGAATGAACAACCTGATAAAACCAGTGTCCACTCTTCCTAAGCACTCGAGAGCTAATAAACATCATCTGTAACAGTAAAACATAATCTGCGCAGATGCTGGATTTGGATATACTCCATTTACTGGTGGAGTAGCCAGCCAAAGGCTTCTGTCTTCTCTGCATATCCCTACGTGGCACTTCCTGGGTCTTCTGACCAGTGTCAGGGCACCGGAATCCAACTTGTTATATGCGTGAGGTAGGGGGACAAAGGAAAACTACAAATCTGCTATGTATCTTATATGGTCTCAGTATCTTATATGGTCTTGCAGTAGAATATTTTGTCCTGATGGCTCATGAAAAATATTGTAATATTTTAATATTATAAAATATACAGTGGGGTGGAAGGAGGGAAATGCTGGGCTCTGCTGAGCTTACCAGTGGGTTGGTATCACGTTGCTCTTTGGCGCTGGTGAAGTGGGACAGCCACCTGCAGTGTATGCATGACTTTGCTCTAGGGATCTTTCAGGCATGCAGATGTGTCTGAAAGTTCATTGCTCCTCTCCATTTACTGTTTTTTTTTTTGGTTATCATTTCAATTTGCTAACATAAAAGGTTGTGTCTTGTGGTGTGGCTATGGGCCAAACTGCAGTCACTTAGCTAAATCAAGAGAGGGGAAAAAAAAAAGTTTGGTTTATCAGTGTTTTAACTCCCCATCTCTGCCACATAACCCAGACGTTCACGAGATGGCACAGAGAATCTGTCAGGGCACTGTGACCTCTGCTGGATGGCATAGACTTAATAAAACAGAAGAGTGGAATTTTGTAGTTAAAATTTGTCCTCCTTTAAACAGTTTGCTTACTCAAAGGCCCTTGAGATATTGGGAGAGCTTAGTCCTGTTTAGGAAGCCTGGCTTCTGGTGGAATTAAGGGTTGAAGGTTTGTGGGGCTGCCCACCAAAAGAGCTTAGTCATGCACTCGCTTAGCAAGGAGCTGCGGCAGCTTCGGCGGACGGGCCGTGCACCTCTGCCAGCGGTTTACGACTCTAAGTTGGAGAATGGAATATGTGAATGTTTCTCAGCTATTTCTATGGAAATTTGTGGTTTAGTTTAACCTGCCCGTGGGAGGTGCTGAGCTAAACTGTTAGCTTGTATTGAAGCAGCTGAGAAGACTTTCACCTCTCTTGTGTTGACCTCCTATTTGAAGCTGTACTCCTCAGTTCATGACAATATTAAATGGCCAATAAGATGATTTAACTAGTAAAATATTGTAACTATTTGCTAAATGATTGCATATCCAACTCCTCCATATCTTTACTGGAGTTAATTTGAATAGTCATATAGTTTTATTGGCTTCCCTGCTTAAACCAAGTACCTGCAGGCACAGCGTTTCAAAAGGAGAAGGTGAATAACTTTTCTTATATTCAAGAGCTATAGGGTCAAAAAGATACATTTATTGTGTTTATTGTTATCTTTAGAGGCTATGAGATAAAGCACAGAACTTGTTCCATTATCATTTACTCATTGTTAGTGTTCCACATTACTTTTTTTTTTTTTTTTCAATTGTAACTGGCAATTCAAAGTGAAGCATTGGCTTTCAATCTAAAATAGTTTTAGATTTTTCACAACAGGTGTGTGTGTGTGTGTCTATATATAGTCACACATATATGTTGTGAAAAATCTAAACTATTTTAAATATATGTGTATACAGCTTTCTGTGTGACAACTTGAATTAGCTTTCTGTAGTCAATTTCCTTAAGATCTAGGTAGGAAATTCCATATGTTAACAAATTCAGGTTTAGTGAGTAAATTTGGAGTATGTTAGGCATTCACCCCAGTAATATATAATATCTGTTTGTAGCTATTCTTTCTCAAAATGAACATGGCTGTGAGTGAGCCTCTGGAACAATGCACATTTGGAGAACAAAGTTTGGTAGTTCTCGGCAGAATTTCGGTTTCACAAACACCTGTTAGTAATTCTTGTATTGGAAAATAAGGTAAAATGTCAGTCCCTGAAAGAGACACGTGTATGAACTGCAGCAAGGCACAGGATTTAATTTTGCCCTTCTTATGTCTGTTTTCTTTTCTTTTTCTAGCATTCTCTCCCTCCAACCACGTATGCCACAGTTAAGGCCTACTCAAACTTCGATGCTGACCGAGATGCTGCTGCCTTGGAAACAGCCATCAAGACCAAAGGTGAGGAGCACCATTGCTTCTGCTTGTAAGCTAGAACACTGGCAGAAGAAAAATGTCAACGTTTGTTCCTAGGTTTTGAAATAAATGCACACGTGTCTTGGATTATTTTGAGTCGGAGAAGATCCTAGAAACAGTAATATCTAGTTTCTGAATAATACTGCAGTATTTAATGGGTAGGACAGTATCAGAGTTTGCTGTTTCTCTGAACTGTGCTCCCAGGAGCTGGTCCAAACCAGGAGGTACCACTTTCACTGGGACACCTTGCAGATGCAGCCCCCATGGAGTACTGAAACACACAGGAGTACACGGTGCACGAAAGGCAATGCCAGAGCATTGATATACTGATAGTATTCAGTATGAAAATATATACAAAGTACTACTTACAAGATTTTTTTTTCCACTAATATCATTTATCTTTGAGGGAACAGATGAGGAATGAACGCTTCCAAACATTGTACTCTGCTATCTCTTTCATGGGTTTTGAAACACACTGCTATGTCCTGTGAGGTTGCACTGGGGCAACTGCTTTTCATTTCACTTAACCAAGGTGTAAAATAGCATTTCTTATCTTGAAAGGAAAAAGAACGACCCCATCAACACCCCTTGGCTTCATTTGTCAAACCAACTCAGAGCAAGTAATCGTAGAAAGCAGTCACCATGGTTCTAGGGTAGCAGCCTTCATCCTGCTCTGGAACCAGCCAGAGTTTTCCTGGCTTTGGCTCTTTTTCCAGGCCCCAGAAGCAACAGGTAGGCATAGCTGGATCTGCCCATGCTCTTGCCTACATGTCAGGAGAGGCAGAAATTTAAAGAGAATGAATTTTTAATCTGAAAGAAATGCCAACAGTGCATTCTGTCTGTGCCAACAAAGTAAAAAATGACTTAAAAATGTAATGAGTAAAATGTTGACTATAAAATGTTGCTCTTTCTTAGAATCATGAGGCTTGCTTTCACGAGGCTTCTTAATTTAGCTGGAGAAATCCCTTGCCTGCTCACTGAAGTAGGTTCTATTCAAATTTTAGGGTTTGCATTATTTTTAAATAATCTCCTTACAAGAGAGGAGTGTCATTGTGCTTGGCAGGAAGTGCTTTGTGTACATGTAGAGTTTTGTCTAGATTTAACTTTATTTTACAGCACTGATTATAAGGCAAATCTGAACATGTCAAATATACCATCAGGTTTTCAGGGTAGGGACCAGCTTGCACATTTTTACATTCAAGCTGTTAATTAGTGCAAATGGAAATTGCAATATCCCAGGCAGTACAAATGCTTTTCCTGTCAGGAAAGTCAGACTAATGTAATTATTGCACTTTCTCCCAACACAGATGAGCAATTTGCTGAGTTTAAAAATGTTTCCATATATTTTAAAAATTAAAGAGAGCTGGTGTCTGATCCTTCTGATCCCCATTGATAAAAGGACAATGCTAAAATCTTCCCATATAAATAAAATACATTGGAAAATAAAGTTTCATTCCATTACCTTGAAATGTTTAAGCTTTCAAGTGAACAGTTTAAAAAAAAAAAAAAAAGTGAGAGCAGCTCTTTGGTCCACCCCACCTCAGCAAATGTGAGTCAGCATCCTGTTCAAGGCAGCAGGATTCCCAAGTGTGAAATACAAGCACTCATTTTCCACAAAATGCCAGAGCAATGAGTTAGCTCATATTTCCATCCACAAAGCATATGAATAACTTGGACACAGTCATTTGTGGGCTTCTAATCTATCACAATTGTTTTAAAACTTGAAAATGTCATTTGCTAGCTTTGAATGCCAAGAATGTTTTGAATTGAGAATTTACTAAAAAATAAAAATAAAGACTGGTTTATACTGTGGCCCTGCAAAGGCCCAGTGCAAGTATCCATCTGTGCATGGCCATTTGGTTGTTTCTGGACTGTTTTTTATTTTTATTTTTTATTGGGAACATTCTAAAACATGCTATCAGTAGATTTTTGTCTGCAATCTGCGCTCAGCATGTTCTCAAACCAAGCTTTGTAACTTAAGACACGTGATACTTTCCATGGCCTCAAGACTTTTCCAGGCTAAGCCTGTGTGAATAAGAGCACTGGTGTAGGTCTGCCTCAATATGAGCTAAAAACATGAGGCTGTCAGGTCCAGTATTTCATCTCCTCAAATCAGAATCACATTTTTGTTCTTGTTCCTTATGAAAAATGAAGCCAAAAGCGAGAGATGAATATGAATATTTGGATTTGACTTACTGTTTTAGAATCTGTAGCTAAGGGCTGCAAGGTCTTTTGCAGCACTTACAGTGGTCTGATTTGTATTGTAATATCTGATTCGGTTCCTTTGTGGTTGAGCTGCTGTGAGGTCACTTGTGGTTAATAAGACAAAAAAGAAAAAAGTAGAAAATGATTCTATCAGGGACCTGAATTCTAGTAGTAGCTGATCCACTCCTTTCTTTTCCTATTGCGAAATCATCATTAAGGGGCTGATTACATTAGTCATATTTCATATTTATATTACTGTACAAATGTGAAAGAAACTCGGTCAACAACTAGTCCCAAACGAGCACTTCCCTGGCACAGCTATAGGCCGATCTGATACTGGAGCCTAACAGTTTGAGAGCTCTTCAAGCTGTCTCCTCTCTCTATGTATTTACACACTCTGCTGATTCTTCTGAACGAAGAATTTATTAGCTGAATGTTACTTCCAGCTGCAGTGTTGAATGGCAGGTCCAGATGGTTCTGATTAACCAATAAAATACATGAGATGCAAAGGACCATTTTATCTAGAGGCTGAATTCAGTGGTATAGCATAAGACAGCATTGGAGAATTGGGGAAGGAGATAGAAATACTTTGTGTTGTGTTGTTTTACAGTGTGTCTTTGTATGCTGTATTAGATGAAGTATGAAGATTAAATTGGAGGTGTAGAATTATAAATTCAAAATAAGACTTTACCTGAGCAAGCAGTGAGTCCTCAACCAAGTGTGGTGAAATCAAGCAATTCCTATACTGCCTAAGAACACGTGGATGGACCTCATGGATTCTGACAGGCCACACAACACCATGTGTCTGCAGTGTTGCTCCTGTTTGTCCCTTGGAGTCTTCGTTACCTGGCCGCTCTGCCTCCTGGTTGCTAACGGTTGCTTTGATTTGGCTTGTGGCAGAGACTTACATCTCCAGAAATTTTCTTGTCTTACAGAAACTGGCTTATTGCAAGAGCACCTTTTATAAGCTCTCATTGTAAGGGGGTAGTTGAGATATTTTTATGAATTAGTTAAGGAAATATAAATACAGCTTTTTCTTCTGTTGTTGTTGAATAATCAGGATATCCTGATGGATGAGAGATATCCTTCAAGATGAAGGATAGCTATTTATTTGGATGCTAGACTAAGTTTGGGAGAATCCAGTTGAAAGCAGCAAGTGAGGGGGAGAAAAAAAAAAAAGTGAATCTGAAATGCACATTGTCAGTAACAGGCAGAGTGTCAGAGTCTCGAGATGCTTCCTGCACTGGAAAGAATCTTGAGTTGCAAGTGGCTAATATCTAAGAAATTTCCTGTGTAATGTAAAGCTTTTATTCTATGTTTATTGACCAGGATTGGAGGCAGCATGAATATCAGCCCTGTAGGATCTAAGGCTGTGGAATATGTTAGGTACCATGGACAGACAGTGAGTCCAGCCCTGGATCTGTGCCTCGGCACTTAGGGTAAAACCAAAAGATCTTGCATTTAGGGTAAAACCATGATCTTTAAGTGAACAGAATTACAAGACATCATTTAAACTTAAGCCTTTACGGATTCAACTATTAAAAAGAGATAGGTAGGGAGCCTGAGCATCCAAATTGTCTAGGCAGCTTAGTTAAAACTCATCATGGATCTTCTATGGGCATGCCCAAAAAAGGGAACACATACATAATTCCTCCCAATATCAAGAAGACCTTCTAGTTTCTAAGCTTCTGAGCTGATGAGTGAAAAGTGGAGTGTTAGTTAAGTGCCTAGAGGCAAATTAGAAAATATAACAGCTTTTTAACAAACCTTAATTGAAATTATTCCACTGAAATTACAGGGCAGGCTGTAAGAAGCTCAGGTCTGTCAGTTCTGAAGTTGAACAGCTTTTGTTGCAGGATCCTGCATGGTTGGTGCACCTGTGACATGGAGCTCAGAAGCAGCAAGACTGGCCAGGGGCTGGCCCTAGCTGAGGTGGACACGTGAGTGTACGCGTCAAGAAGTGCTTCGCATCAAACGTGTAAATAGCTACAGTTTCTGCAAGGCCAGGACTTAACAGATTCTACACCAAAGAGAGCTGTTGAGCAACAGTGCTGTGTCCTGAGTGTAGGAGAACAGATCCATACAAATAAGAAAGCTTTTGACTCTGTCTTTTGTCATTGTAGGTGTGGATGAGGTCACCATCATCAACATCCTAACAAACCGCAGCAGTGAACAGAGGCAGGATATCGCTTTTGCCTACCAGAGAAGAACCAAAAAGGTACTAAAATATGAAGGAATGTGAAATATTGCATATTTTTCCTGTGCATAGTTAGGTTTTCATGGCTCACATTTCACAGGTATTTAGGCATAAACTGGAGATAAATATTACTTAATTTGTCTTTTCACTGGCAGTAAAGATCCATTTACTTTGTATATGCTGTCAGAGTCTAGGGCTGGTAGGATTTTCCAAAGTATTCAGTATGCACGACTGGAACTGAAATCTGTTGGAGACATGGGTTTTCTAGTATCTCTAGAAATCAGGATGGATAGCAGATCATCAACCAGCCCCTGGGTTATATGCTAAAATGTGCTGAACAGTATCAGTTGTGTGTTTTCTAAAGTGTGGCAAAATTGCTACTTAACCCTGTGTAAAACCTTTGGCAGGAAATGCCTCAGGCAAAAGGGTTTGGATGGTGTTTGTTTGTTTATTTATTTTAAAATAACTTGGCCTAAAGAAAGTATTCCATTTCTGTGCAAAGTGCAGTAATCAGATGAACTTTCACTGGCTATTTTCCTGACAGAAATATCCCATGTACTGATCTACAGAGGATAACAAATCTGTAGGACAGGTTACAGCAGCTTGTATAATGAGTCTTGCTACCTGGAAGTTTTCTTGATGTTTTCTTGTCTTTTAAGAATCTTACAGCAATTGAAGTTTTATGCCCATGCAGAAGAAGAGAAGTTTGCCTAAAGACCAGTTTAAGATTATAATGAATGTCTCTCTTTCAGGTTTGCCAGACCCCAAATGGTAACCCTCCAATAGCAGCCCAGAGTGCTCACCTGCAACCAAATGTAAAGCTAGAGTAAAATTTGAGAAATTCACCAATTTTTATGCATGGCTGATAAAGGCACACGCAGAAACACGTGCAAGTTGGATGCATGTGTGTGTGCACACAGGCCTGCATCCTAGCAGTCACTCTCTGTGGGCACCATGAGAACTGTGAATATAATGTGGACCCTAATAATAATATATGTCACTTGAAGCTCTGTTATATGTTTTGCATGAGCACAAAAACAGTATAGTCAAGAAAATCCACAACTTCATTAATTTAAATGTTTATGTCTTCACTTACCTTCTTTCCTTGCTGCAATCTAGGAACCAACTGAATTTATCAAGTATGATAAGTGCAAAAGGGTAAAATGACCCGTAAAAACAATGGTAGTTTTAAGAGACACCACTTAGGTGAATAACAGGAGAGGAAAAAATGGTTTGTGAAAAGACATATCTTGTCCAGTGATATATCCTCTAGGGAAAATATTTCATGGATTTTTTTGGTAATATGCTGTGAAGTTGCAAACCCTACTTGAGGTGATTGTGATTTATTGCTCGTGTTGTGCCCTGATACAGGTTTTCTCAACAGAGTTTAGCTCCAATGGGAACCAATGATAATCCTGAGGAACAATATTTCTACCAAGAAGGTCTATGAAATATTTTCCCTTCATCAGCATTAATGGAGCTACTGGGGATTTAGAAGTGCCCTAGATTAACTGATGAAGCTGGAAACACACCAAGTGCCTTGGCTCTTTATCTGTCTGACATAAAGTTCTTTGCAGTTTTGTTCAGATCACCTTCTTTTACATCTCTTTTTGTGCACACTCCCCACACCCTAAACTTATTTGTGTAGAACCCGGTAATTTAAATGCAGTAAGTCTTTTCTGAATGCTCCAGTTTTAACTCTAGCTATAGGAAATATTGATCAGCATAGATCCCAGATCTGGTTCCAGGCTTTTGATATTTGTAACTATGCTACATTGCAGCTGATACTAGCGTTCTTCAAGTTATATCCGAATCCCATAAAAGAGGAAATGCCGGATTTTATTTGCTACAGATCCGTATACATCCCATAAAGTGAAAATATCTGACTGTTTGTTTTCCTCCAGCATTGGCTGACAATTAACAATAGAAGTTTTGACTACAGAGTTCTGATGATTTCCTTAAGATAGGGCTGATTTTCCTGCACTCGGGAGCTGTTTTTCCCCTCAGCCATCTGTTTGGGACCTGGGCCAGTACAGTGGAATAACTATGCAGTCAATTTTCCAGTGTCTAAGCTAGTTTAGGGCTGAGATAAATAGGGAAAACCCAAATAATATAGTGCTACTGGGAACACTGTGAAGTGTGGTGGAGAGGCAACGACCACAGAGAGTCAAACTCGGACCCATCAGTGCTTATTGGCTCCAACACAGTGTCAGTACTTCAAGACCAAAGCTGAGTTGTGCAGAGTCACTTGAATGTCTTTGCACCATGCTTCCCAGCACTTTGTCAGCCACCAGTGGATTTTTCTTATTTTCAAGATGAGAAAAATTTCCTTTGCCCTGATTTTTTGGGCTTCCACAAAAGAAAAGCTCTTTAAGTTCTGTTTCCATGTCAGTTGTGCAAAAAAGACTATTGCTGCCTTGGAGATTAAAAGCACTACAAGCTGAATTCTCTGGAGATCAGAAGTGAGCTTTAATTACTTCTTCCATCCTCCTTTCTATTTTACAGGAACTTTCAGCAGCACTCAAATCTGCTCTGTCAGGTCATTTGGAGGCAGTGATCTTGGGCCTGCTGAAGACACCATCACAGTATGATGCCTCTGAATTGAAAGCTGCAATGAAGGTAAATGAGTTCTGAAATTTAAGTATGTTGAAGTCTGATGACACTACTTCAAGAATAAGTATGGACTTGATATTCAAATACGTGTTTCAAATTTGACCACTGACTTTTTAGTATTATGGTTTAGGTATCCAACTTCAAGTGTTAACTAAATCCTTTCTTTAGGAAAAAGTAATGTGAGCCAGATGAGGAGCGACTCATAGGCAGTTTTGGCTGATAGCTGCTCTTCTGACTGCCTTGAAAAACAATGAACAGGTTCTTACTATAAAAAAGGCATAAGAAAGCACTGGAGCCATTAAATCCTTTGCTAGTATTTGTAGGCTTAATAAAAAGTAGTTTCCCGTTACTGGGCCATATCACCGATGTTGAAAGAACATCCTGTACCCAGGCCTTTTTCTCTGTGGAACATGAAGAGGAGGAGGAGAAGGACGTGTTCAAACGAGCCTTGCTGAACAGCGCAGCAGTGGGTCACAGAGTTCAGTCCCCTGCAATCACAGGCAAGCGTGGAATAGATCACCGCTTGGGAAAAATCTGCCCCCTTGGCCACTGAAGACAGATTTCGAGAAGTGCTCGTGCCAGTCTTTTTACCTTTCTAGACAAACTAAGGTTTGGGAGCTTGTTTGGGAGCATCTAAAATCATACGCATCTAAAAAATCACAAGCATCTAAAAAGAAAGTATTAAAATATGTGTACTAAAACTCAGAACAAGACAAAGAGCTGATTAATTACTATCTCCAGACTATGAAACAAATGTACCAAAATAATACCAGTGCACCAATAACAAATAAGGAGAGGTAATTGTTCTTTTAATTATGTGTGGGCCAAATCCACTCTTTGAGTAATTGGATGCTGCCCTCTTCTGGTTTATCCATAGGCTGTCCATAACTTACTGTGAATGAGATAATAATTCAAAATTTCTGAAGATTTTGTATGTGATGTGTTTAAATTAGAATGACCATATACTTATCTAGCGCTTGTGCTATACTTACAGCCAGATGATCAAGCCTTAGAACAGTAGCCATGGTAGCATATTCTCTTCACAGGTCAGGTGTTTCCATCTCTCAAGCATTCATTCTAATGTTCTGAGTTTGCTAGCAAAGTATTGTTTTTCTTGCTTGAGCTTAAGTTTTTTTTTCTGATATGTATATTCCTACAAAATACTTCAAAATAATATTTAGAGATTATTAAATTGTTAGCCTTCATTTCTTCCCCAGATATCCATTAGAACTATTCTGTGGAGAGCTGTCCCAATTCTCTTAGCTGGTAGACATGGTTTTAGTCCTCTTATTTTTTCAGTTAGTAAAGAGGCTTTTTCCAAGGCAATAGTTTTTCACATAACTACATACATATTTAACATGTAAAATAATATAGCATAAGATTGTTTTTCAGTCTGCTGATGGCAGACTCCTCTAGGACTCCGGTGCAAACCATGCCCATTTTTTGCCAGATACCATACAAAATTTATCCCAAGGGTCTTAGCAAACAGCTGCCTGACAGTAGTCCTAATAATGTTCTGTGTTCTGCTGGTGATTCTGGCAAATGAGAGTAATTGGATTAGCATGAATATCGTTGACTGACGGTAGGTAAAAAGCAAAAACAAATGAAAAACATGAAATGAAACAAAAAAAACTCTCTCAGTGGAATCTATTTAAAGAAAAGTGTGTATGTTTGTGGGTTTTTTGAAGTTGCTTTTTTTGCTTTTTTGTTTTTCCCACAATACTGAGGGATCTAACTGCCAGGTGGCTTTACCAAGTAATCATGTGGGTATTGTCTGCGGTTATCAGAGAGAGCAAGCATCTTCAGGTTGCCTATGTTAGTTTCCTATTCTAAAACTGTCCTTCAGAGAGTCCTGTCTCTCTCCAGGAACTATAGATGAGGCCTATAGAGACTAGTTGCCTTGGGAGATGTATTCTCCTGACTTAATAGGTATCTTGTTTTAGTGTCACCTTACTAGTCCCTTGTCTAGTTACACCTATTGTTTACAATTACTTAACTGTTAAGATTATCAGGAAATGTTCATTCGTATGATAGCAATGGAAATTACAGTACCACACAAATCTTTATGCTGTTTTTCTTTCAGTTTTAACACTAAGACATATATTATATATGAATCATATATGGCAAGAAACATATTCTGCTAATGCTCTGTATATGGCAGGGGAGAGAGATTCTGCCCTAGTTGGAGACTTCTGTGAGGCCTAGCCTAATTTTATGTTTTACAGATTTATGCCAACTAGATCAAGTTGGAAGATAATTTAATACATAATTAATACATACAGGTCCTCTCAATTCACCTAGCTTCATCAAAATGAACATTTTAAATCTGAATATTTAATCCATCATACCAAAGATATTTTTATCCCTTAATATCAATATAGCTAATAATAACATGATATCTATGTTTGGGTGTTGTAGTGTTCCATGAAGTACATGGAAAATATGCATAGTTCAAGGGGGGCTATTTATGAGCTAGAAACTTGAAACATGGGTGAATATTTGCGGGTCTGGTGGTGAGGCCATTACTAATGGCTGTGTCATCTTCAGCCTCCTATTTATGGTGGGAGGTGTATGGAGAGAGGTGAAGAAGAAAAGCTGGAAAGAACATGGTCTCTGCACATTTGCATGATGAAAATGAGGTTTTTTTTCCCCCTATGTTCTCAATGGAAAGATAGAAAAGAATCACATGTTGGCAGTGGAATGTTCACCTCATTGCAGTTATGCTGGTGGGGAGATCAGGTATTTGTTACAAACACGTCAAACAAATTTCCCACAGATATTGTCTACCGTATCTCAAAGCTAATAGAATAATATCTGGCAACTAAAAATGTTCCATCTGGGTTTTCTCAGGCACATTAGAAACATGCATACAGTTGTCAAAAATATCCCTGAACAGTTGTGGAACTGTTAGACTGGGAGAAAGGAAAAAGGGTAATAAAATGCCAGTAAAATATTTTGAAATCCTTCAAGCAAGGTTTTCTAACACTGAACTGTATATTGTGTGTTGCAGGGTCTGGGAACTGATGAAGACACACTCATTGAAATCATCTGCTCACGGACAAATCAGGAGCTTTATGAAATCAACAGAGTCTACAGGGAAAGTAAGTTTACATTGAAAGTTGCAATGTATTGTGCTTGCTCACAGCCTTGCTTGGGTTGGTCCCCCCCAGTGTCAATTTGATTGGTAGAATCACTTGCAGAACAACTCCTTTGATTCTCTGGTAGTCAGGCCAAAGAAATTTGTAGTGGCATACTAGATACTAGGGTGTATTTATAGAGTTTTGTCTGCTCCTCGACAATAAACAAATTGGAGAGCATTAGCTAGTCATCTAAGCAGTGTCCAGGTAGCTATTTTTTTTTCTGTTACGTGTGTTTTGTGCATAGTGCAAGAGTACATTGGTTTTGCTTGGCCTTTATGATTCATTGAGTACCCTAAAAGAGCTGCTTGACAGCTATTAAGCATGAACACACAGCAATGTATGGTATGGCTGCTTAGAAAACAATGAAAAGGCTGAGAGAGTGCACCGGGATTGCACACAGCATTCTTATGTTTTGTCAAAACAACTATCGTCTTCTGCATTAAACTTATAATTGCAGTTGTCCAGTCATAAATCCATGAGTGGTTAAGGTCTAAATTCTGTTTGGGAAACAAGCAAACATTGATAGCAAAGGATAAACTGGTAGGATATTCAACTTGAAACAGTATTCTCTTCCTTTTAATGTACGAAGGCTTTCTTATTGTCTTTCCGTAATTGGCAGATTTGCCTGCACCGGAACTTACACAGCAATGATTTTGTTGTGGTATCCGAGTGTGCTTTTAATCGTCTTCCATAGATGACTTAGATGGTAGCTGGTTGCTTTTGTACACTGCAAAATACAGTGATTAGCTATAAGGAGTTGTAGTGTAGCTCCTTTTAAATGAGAGTTTGTCGAACATTATTAAATAGAAAAAAAATCTGTTTCCTAGTGTATAAGACAGAACTGGAAAAGGACATTATATCAGACACATCTGGTGACTTCCGCAAGCTAATGGTTGCCTTGGCCAAGGTATGTCTGTTTATATTTTACTATGTTTCCTAATGTGCCCGTGCCTTGGTATTTGATACTTTTTAATAAAACAATTGGATTTCTAATACAAATTTTAATTTCTTTGTAACTTTACTGTATTTTGAGAAAAAAAAATCAAATGTCGAAGGACATAGTATCCTGACAGGGACTCTGTATTCATAACAGTAGGTCATTAATGAGGATGAAGCATCCTCTAATGATTACTCATATAGAAAATACTGATTAACAAACCAAAGAGAAAAATATGTGTATAGCAAATTTCTTGCCATCCTTTAAACTTCTTCTAAATACTGCTGTCGTCGTTTAAAGGGAAAAAGGTGTGAAGATACTTCTGTGATTGATTATGAGCTGATTGACCAAGATGCTAGGGTAAGTGCTAATAATGACCCTTAAAAGTTCTTATTGACTGATTTTGGGGGGATATTCAGCTAGACTATGAATGTTGTGCATGTGGAGAGTGCAAGGGCACTTTGTAAAAGTAGGTAAATGTATTTCAAATTGTGTGCAGCCATGTTTGCATGCTGTCAAGGAATCTGCCACTTACAATCTTGACATCTTCAATTGTGTATTTTCATGGGCTACTCACTAGCACTTGCACAGTAGCTGTCTGGTATTTTCCATAGGCATATGGAAAAAGACATGCTTTAAAAAAAGGAAGCACTGATGCATTGCAAAGACTGGTGGTGGTCAAAAGATCAAGATTACGATATAATTTCAAAAGATTAAGAGTTAGGTATCACTAAACTCACTGGCTGATTTGTTTATTACATCTGTACCTGCCAAGAGCAACTTTGCTGAGGTAAATGCACCTAAAACAAGAGCAAAACCTCCAAATAGAAGTAAATACAGGGTAAAACCTAGCTTAGCTTCAGATTAGATCCATGGTGGTCAGGCCAATGGTGTGTCCATTTATCTTTCTGACATTCGCGCAGCTACAGTAGTGCTTGGTTTCCAGTAAAGCAATTGTGTATGTTTGATGGCCTTCTCATATAACTCATGATTTTGCTTATCATTCTAACCCCAGGAACTGTATGATGCTGGTGTGAAGAGAAAGGGAACTGACGTGCCCAAGTGGATCAACATTATGACTGAAAGAAGTGTTCCCCACCTCCAAAAAGGTACTCTTCAAGAGACAGTCCTTTTTTTTTTTAACCACAGAAGGAAAATTAGATTCAAGTGGTATCTATTTCATCTCAGGTATGATTAAAGTGAGTGTGAAAAGCTATGAAACCTGGAAATCTTTAATTCATAACCAAACTTTTTTTTAATGCAGTTATTTCTGTGGATATGTTAATCTAATAACTTGAGTGCGCATATAGCACTTTTCTATACAGGTGCAACGATCAATGGTATTTCGCCTGCACTGGGAATGAAAACTGGGATACAGGAGACTTTGAGAAATCCTTTATCTTTTTTCCCTCTCTGCTAGAGAGGATCAGCTATATCATGTGTTTAAATTGGATATCGAAGCTGCCAAAGAGCAGCTCAGGTATTGCAGGAGACTGAGAAATCCTTTATCGTTTTTTCCCTCTCTGCTAGAGAGAATCAGTTATATCATGTGTTTAAATTGGATATTGAAGCTGCCAAAGAGCAGCTCAGGTATTGCTGTCAGAAGTACCTGGGAAAGCTATTATGGGGAATTTTATTTTCAGGGGCTTAATTTCTTTAGCTTAAACAAACCAATTGTTTCAAAAATATTAATGACAGAATGGTATTTTACCAGATGTTTGGGATATTTGGAAAAAAAAGAGAAGGCCATAGCATCAGACCTTTATTATCAGCTGATAAATTGAGACTGTATTGAAAATAAAAGCTCTCAGAAGGAGAACTTACAGGAGTGCATCATGTGCGTCTGCATTGCACTGTTTTTGGCTTAGGTGGTTGCTTACCAATCTGGGGAAAGAATATCACGTCAAGAGATTGCAGCATCTTCTGTGTTGCTGACTTCCCAAAGGAAATGTACACATGACTTGTTACCTGTTGTTAGTTCTGCTTTTGTCTGTTACAAACATTTAATCTTTGATTCCTCTTTGTTTTATTAAAAACAAGCAAGCAAACAAAACCAGGTTTGACCACTAACTAGGTACATTAAGTATTAAATATGGATGTAGGCTGAAAAGAGAATAGTGTGTATGAGAAGGGAAAACAGGTTGTGGAGGATGCTGGAGGCTAATAAAAGTAGCTGATTTGGCACCGAATTATCTGAAATGAGTATTTAAGACACTACAACTTTGGCATGAGATGAAGATGATTAGGATGTATGTTCTGATTTCAGAGTAGATTTTGTAAAAGAAAAATCAGTTTCAGACTAAGGGAGAACTGAGAGGTGTTTCGGGAAAGTGGAGAGCAAAGAAAACTCAGCCTTGAAGGAGGATTTCTTAGGGGACAGCATACAATGAATATTTTCATTAAAAAAAAGGTTGTTTATATGTGAAATATGGACACAAGAATGAATTTTAGTGTGTGTGGAGGAGTGCTAGCATTCTGAAAAGCTACTGACTGTGAGCGAAATAGCCGTTGTTCACCAGCTCCCAAAAACAACTTGTGACAAATGCATCAGGTAAAATTCATTTCTCTGTGCTTCCTTATGGATAAATTTATGCTGCAAACTTTTATTCCAAATACTTATATCTTTGAAAGACTCCAGGATTCTATGTTCTGTTAATCCAAGCGTGAGCAGGATGTTTAACTATTCATATTTCTCTGTCTCTTTAGTCCAGTGCATTCAGAACAAGCAGCTGTATTTTGCAGACAGGCTGTATGACTCTATGAAGGTAAGAAAGACTTGTTTATAGCTCACATTTAAATAAAGAATGTTTTACCTGAAGGTTGAAAGTAGTCAGAAGACAAGATACATACAAGATACATAGTGTAGATTTAAAATAGAATACTTAACAGAAAAACGAAAGGTTGCAGAAGAATGTCAGATAAATTGCTGATAAAAAACTGTTTGTTGAAGAATCAGTAAGACCCTAAATTATAGCTACAAAATATCTTCTTGAGAAACTGATTAAAAGAGAAACACCTGGAGACTGTCATTAAGCAGTACTTGCAAGACTTCCTTGTGAGTCAGGACTGCTGATTTACAGACTAAGTAGCTAAACTTGCGACCACAAGTTGATCAAACTCTGATAAGGAGAGATGTTTGTGCTCAAACTCCTAGGTCACAACAGTGGCTTTAGAAGGTTTAGTTCGCTGTACCCTTTACTGTTGCAGCTAAGTTGCCTGTATTTTACTCTTTCCATCAGATGGTGGCCTTGTTATGCATCTTAGCTTTTATATATTTACATGTGAATCTGCTTGTAGGGCAAGGGAACCCGGGACAAGGTTCTGATCAGGATTATGGTCTCTCGCTGTGAGATAGACATGCTGAAAATTAAGAGTGAATTCAAGAGGAAATATGGAAAATCCCTCTATTATTTCATCCAGGTGAGTTTTCAGGTTTCTTTTTTTATCAACTGTATGACCTTCGAAGTACTCTTCCTTGGACTAATTGTACTATTAGAATTAATGGAAGATTCCTTAGAGACTGCAGTGAGAATAGTAGATCATTACTTAAGCACTACTGAAAAGCCTATTCTTACCTTTGCAAGCTACAGCCAGTGCAATTTTAAACAACTGTTCGACTGAATATGCAGGTTTTGTGCAATATGTTGATATATCGCATAGGAAAAATCTGCCCCCATCCCCAGAACAAGACTCTCAACTGTGAACTGCAGCCTGTTTTACAAGTTCAGAATATAACGTATACATGTTTTGTGTCTTTTTTCTTTTCCTTTTTTTTTTTTTTTTTAATCTTTTGCTTTACAGCAAGACACAAAAGGTGATTA